AGTCCAGTGAATATCAACATTGTTATTAATAATTTGGATGAGGAAGTGCAGGGACTGCTTATCAGATCTGCAGATGACAAAAAATAGGGTGGGATAGCTAATATTCTGGAAGACCTAAACAAAATTCAAAGTGATCTTGATAGGTTGGAACACTGGGCTGAAATAAATGCACCTGGGGAAAAGGATCCAAATTCATAGTTACAGGATGGGGATACTTGGCTCAACAGTACTACAAGGGAGAAATATCTTGGAATTGTTGTGGATCACAAGCTGAATATGAGTCAATAATGTGAAGTGAGAGCAAAAAGGCAAATGTTATTTTAGGTTGCATAAACAGAAATACAACTTCCAAATTATGTGATGTACTACTTCCTCTCTACTCAACACTGGTTAGCCTCATCTTGAAACATCCAGTTCTGGGTATCACAGTTTAAGAAAAAAGCAGACAAACTGGAAAAGGTTTAGAGGAAGGTGGCAAGAATGTTCAAGAGACTGGAAATGAAGACCTGGGAGGGGAGACTGAAAAAAATAGGCTTGTTTAGCTTTGAGAAGTGTGGGGAGAGATACTATAGCATTCTTCAGGCACTTGAACAGTTGTCAGAGATAAGAACTGGGATCTCTTCTCAGTCTCTCCATGCTACAGAACATGGAATAATGGGGTCAAGTTACAGAGAGCGAAATTCTGGATGAATATCTGGAAAAACTTCCTGAGCAATATGGCAACTTACCATTATCTAGTGAGATCATGGGCTCTCCCACACTGGAAGTATTAAAGATGCTGCAGGACAGCTATCTATTCTAGATGTTTTAACCTGGAGTCATTAAGCAGTGGTTTTGACCTGATGGCTTATTGGCCCCTTCCAACTCTACTGTTCTTATTTTGTTATTCGGTTATTTATTTGTAATTATAGTTTTATATTTTAATCTGTATTTTATACTGTTTATTTGTAGTTTGTTTTGTATTTTGTTGCTGTAACCCACCCAGGGAGCCATATGACTAATTTATTTATTTATTTATTTATTTATTTAGAACATTTCTAACGGGGCTGGCTAGAAATTTAATAAATAAATAATAAGTAAAAAACTGATCAAGCTAGGTACATGCGTGCTTACAAAGCAGAGGGAAATGGTAAATTTACTTTTAGGTTAATCTGTCTCTTCTTTTCTTTTCGAAGAAATTACAAAGATAATGAAAAACTATTACTCCGGGGGTTTCAAAAGCTGGTTCTCATGAAATATATTTAATACCAGTTTATCAAGGTAGTTTGACAGCACGGGAATGGTAATACACATTGAGGCCAAATGTAAGCAACAATGCGCTTGAGCCAACATACTTTTGCTAAAATCCCATTCTCTATTTGATTACAACTAAAGCCTCAATGATGAACTCCTTTAATTTCTTGAACATCATGTAAACAACACCACTGATGTGCCCTATAGCTAGCTAGTAGCTGAAGAATTGGAGAATATTGGTATTACAATAATAGAACAAGTAAAAACACATCTATACCATTATTTTATTTATACATCATCAATGTGTTATGAAAATGACATACCATATGGAGCGCGAGTTAGAGGACACATTTAATTTAGATTAACACTCTATGTGAATATATATGAACATTGATACTGAACATAGATAAACACTGGTATCACTCTTATGAGTACCTCAAAGGATGTCACAAAGAGAAAGGTCCAGATCTCTTCTTGCTGATACCAGAGTGTAGGACATGGAATAATCAATTCAAGCTGCAACCCAGATTTAGGTTGGACATCAGGAAGAACTTCCTCACTGTCAGAGCAATATGAGTGGAACCAGCTCCCTAGTGTGGGCTCTCCCACACTACACATTCAAAAGGAAACTGGACAGCCATCTGAGTGGGATCGTGTAACTTGGTGTCCTGCAACAGCAGGGGGTTAGGTCCAATGCCCTTCATGGCCCCTTCCAGCTCTACTATTCTGTGATTCTGACTCCACTCAAGCTGAACAGTGAGAATGAGGAGACCGACCTAAATGTCTCTCTCCTCATGCACAGCTAAGCTATGGGTGACCGTCTGCCCCCATACTCTTCTGCAAACATGCAGTCCTGATTCAGACTGAGACCAAGAGGAAGGGGAGGGCTTAAGCTTTTCTCACCCCCATGACCTGCACAAACTCCATGTAGGCTGAGGCGCCCGCAAGCGAGGAGGGGTCAGTCAACTGGCCATCCAGACAGGCAGGCAGGCAGGCCAGCCGGCCGGCTGCACAAGTGAGCAAGTGGGGGCAACACCATTGCCACATCACTTCAACCAACAAGGGATGCTGGGATAGGCATGAATCACCCTTCCCCGCAGGGGCTGACCAGAGGTAAAAAGCCTCTCTATTGGAATCGAAAGAGACACTTTTTCTTGCTGTGACACACTCCTTGGGTTATGTGGAATCTTAGGGTGAAAAGGTGGGGCAGGGAAACCTAACAGCTGCTCTCCAAGTGCTATGGTCCCTGACTGGATTTGAGCTGTGGTTTACATAGGAACAGGGAAAGCCAATCACACATATCTTATATGCAAGTTTGAAGGAGCATTTAATTTGGCCCAAAGGCATTAAGCATGAGTGAGTGCCTGCCTGTCTGTCTGTCTTTTTGCTAAACAGTGGCCTATTAAAGCAAAAGATGATCTGGATGAAAGTTCTGCATTTATCATACCTAAGCCAAACAAGCCCTACTTTAATCCTCACATAATACAGATATAGTCTCACATACTCATATATACTCTTAGGCCAACAAAGGTTTGACAACTCAACCAAATATGAAAACATAAAAATTTGCTGGTTATTGTGTGTGTGTTTATATTTATAGTGGGAATCTCTGCTAGGACTATAATGATCTCAGATTCTCCAAAAGTCTCAAACAATAGGCAAATTGAGAAAAAAAAATGTAGATGCCTATCTCACTGGAGCATGTGGTTTTATAACTAGCAAAATCACATAGCAGAAATGACTCCACAGTACACAGAATGTGGGAAAGTTCAGTAACTGTCAGAGTTACACTTTTAATTCTGCATAATCTGAAATTACTTTTTCATCCTTCCTTTCTGTAGTTTGAATTACTCTCCCACACTGCCACAAAGCAAGCATTTGTAATTCTTCTATGTGCTATACTTGGAAAATCTATAAAAGTCATTGCTGAGGTTTTACATTTTGGAACCAGCAAGAAGCAATTGAAAAAAAAGCAAACATATGGTGTTACCATAGATAAGCAAATTAAATAAAAAGAAAGACTCTGTAAGATAATTATATTGCTAGTGGTACTACTGAGAAAAGCTTGGGTGGTTTTTGTGTATGAGCAACTGAAGAAATAGAAAAAGAAGAATCATATGCTTGGAAAGGCAGAAGCTATTACTTTTTTACTCTTATGTGGTACACAAAAATGTGATGATAACCAATTAACAACATTCCATTACAAATAAAGCTCACATTTACAGAAAATATCACATACGGTATATTGGGTAAATTGTAGTTATTTTTCAATATAACACCTAATTCTGAATGCCAAGTCATGATTCAATCATCCAAGCCTCAGGTAGACTTCTTAATGGAATGTGCACTGTTCTAAAATAAATTGTAGCAATTTAGAAAGAGATTGGAGGGGAACACTACCTTCTAGCTGCCTCTGAACCACCAGGACCTACAGACTTGCATCAGGCTCTCCCAAACCAGCTATCCCCACAGGGACATGGCGACATGAATTCAGACAGCACCAGTAGGACCATATTAGCTACACAGAACTCACCTGCCATGCACCTTTTGAAAGCCCAGAGGATGACCAGGGTCTTTTTGGAGTCTTTCGGCTCCATTAATGAGAATGGATTTTAACTTCACAAGCGAAATAGGATTGAAATAGGATTGATTGAATTGAAATAGAATTGAGCGAAATAGGATTGCATTGAGGCTGCAAAATTTGGCAGCCTCCATTTAATTTTGCCAAACATTTGAACAAAATGTTGCCATTTAAATTGATATGGAAAGATGCTACCATTTGTTTATTGTCAGAGAGGCAATGGTCCTTTCTCTGGAAACATTAGAATGAGGACCAAAGCTGATTATAAGCAAGAACTTAATTTTACTCAAATATAATTACTGCAATCTATAGGACTTCTTGCATGAGAAAGAATTATGATGTACATGGGAAATACAATAGTGTTCTTTCTGGTGTTTGGTCATCTCTTTACGTTTCTCACTATTGCTTCCCTCCACCCTTCAGTTAATAGGAAAGGCTTTATTGGCTGAAATTTACATATGCATTGGATAACTGAAATATCTATAGACTGGGACAATTCACTTAGGCACAATCCTAAGCAAAGTTAGACAGGAAAAAGCCCTACAATTCCTTTTTGTAGGACCTTTTTCCTGCCTAATCTTGCATAGGATTGTGCCTTTATATTTCATTGTTTCCAAAAAATATTTGGAAGAATACTTAACCAGAGACATTTTATACTCAGTCAAATTTCTGTAATGTTGAGGGACTATAACGGCTGTGGTATCTAGCAAGCTGCTCCATCAGGAACACAACCAAACAAAATCCCAGTTAAGGACATCATTTGTTTTTCTACAAATTTTGTCATTAAATAGCCCTAAATACATATATTTCGGCCAGCAAATTTTCATGAACACCATACAGAAACTGTACACAGAATTTTATTCTGAGCAAGAATCTGTGCAAATATTCTTCTATTCATTTATTAAATTTTAAGAAGCAAACACAGTTAAAGAAGCAAGTGCATATAACATTACAGCTCATATAGTATTAATGCTGAAAACAAACATTTAAATCTAATTTTCTTTTTAAAGAAAGGCATTTTATGTATTACTGTTTTCCCCCAAATTCACTAAACGCATATTCACATACCTCTTACAGCTTTCATTTACATTGTATTTTTAAAAATTGTAAATATGATCACATGATAACTCATAGCTAAAGTGCTCATGTGCTGTTCTGTCACTCAAGAACACCCCCCTCCCAGTTTTTAAATCAATGGTTCAGGAAGAAATGGGGATGAATGTATAGACTGCGATATATTTGGAGATTCTCTTCCTGTATCCAAACTGTTTGTTGGACTTCTGTTATTAGTGTACAAAGTCTGCCTCCTGCTGATAGTCTCAGAATCATCCTTGTTCAGCCTTTGTTCCATTTTTTGACACCACAGGAAGCTGCGTATGAAGTCTTGGAGAAGGTGCCCACTAAAGAACATGTAGATCCATGGGTTGCAACAACTGTTCAAGCAGGCCAGAAGAGCAGTGACTGTAGTTAAAATGTTCTCGGACTCTGTCAAGAAAAGATAGAGTATTGCTTAGCAAAAATCTACAATACGGTATGCATTGCATTGTATTATATACAGCATAGTATTTATTCCTGTGATTTTAATAAGAATGAATAGAGCTAAGCTGATGTAGCGAGTGGGCCCAGCTTTACAGACTGTTCAGATAAAGTCACCTGATTCTGAGGAAGAGGTGAAGGAGCAAGTGGGATCGTAGGAGTTCACTGATTCAAGGTTATCGAGTGAAGTTTCTCAGGCACAGCATGAGAATTTGGCTGCTTTGGCAGGGGAGGAAGGGTTTTCATGGAGCATAAACTTCCTGAAACAGTCCTAGACTCAGTAGATGGGAGGCGATGGGAGAAGCGAGCTGCCCAGTGCTCCCACCATTTATTTATTTATTATTTATTTAGAAAATTTCTATGCCACCCCATTCGCCGAAGCCTCGGGGTGGCTCACCATCCAGACCTAATGCAGCAAGAGCCACCCTGAGGGTGGAGTCAGAAGCTTTTCTGAGAGGGAAGGACAGAGGGGAAGTTTCCAGTTTGGATTCAATTCTTTACATAAGCAGATGCTTATCCCTCAACTTTAAATGAAAGTTATACTGTTCTGTCATGTGTTAAATTTCAGTAAAAGAATTTCCCTTCAAAGGGTCTGTCTGGCATTCAATAAAAAATAGGAAAAGAGGGAGAGGACCAGCTCATGACAGCAGAATCAGACATTCAAAGCTGGACCCCATAGCAGGCAATAGCCTGAAGCCACTGTATAGCCTTGTAACATATTCTCAAAGGGAAACCAGCACTTTGTCCATCATACACAGAGCAGCTGAATGCATGTCTGTCCTCTCTGTGCTTCATAAGTTGAATCTGTGAAGTCACAAGTGAGCATCAATGAATTCAGAGCTGTTTATTCCCAGACAATTATGCATAGGATTGTAGTCATTCCCTGAAGACTAAAGATTTTATGAACTGGCTGGTTTATTTGCTTGTTTTCAAAAGTATACATATAATGATAATCAGGATTTTAGTTCCTTTCAATACTTATAGAAATGCTGTATCTATATTGACACACAGACACACACACAAACAAAGCGAGAGAGCAACAGGAGAGACTTATCTTCAAGAACTTCTACTGATTGTCCTTAACATCATGGCTCTGGGTGCTACCACAGGAACCAGCTGCACATCAGAATTTGCCAGTACACCACTGACTTCTTCTCAAGATCAGTTAGCCTTCCACCCCCATCAAAAATACTTCCTAAAAGGCACAATAGTCTTATGTATGTCCACCATCATGCTGGGGAACACTGGGAATTGTACAGCTTTTTCCTGTCTAAACAGAAATAGGATTGCACCCTAAATAGCATTTTTAAATGTATAGACTGGACTCCAGCAGCAAGTCTTTAACTGAACTACTTTAATGTACTGCTGTAAACTGCAAGATTGGTTGGTGCTAATTTTTTGGTCATAGGTATATAAAGAGCATTAATGAAATGTAGAATCTTTTACAACAATCTAAGCTTGAAAATAGGGATCAGTCCAACTGCCTTTATTTATTTGTTTTCCTCTGCTTTTCAGGACAAAATGCCTTAACAAATTAACTTACAAGGTACCTATGTTGGTATACATAGAACTTAAAACTGAGCATCATTCAGTCAATGCTTTTTCTCCCTCCTAGAAGCCTGTGTTCTGAAATAGCTTTATGAGTTTCTGGAACAAACGTCTGAAACTAGTGTTGTCTATTTGAATGCTACAAAGGCAATCCCGCCTGCTGCACCGTTAGTAAACTCCCAGTTGGTCTCAGCCGCAATTCGGCCCCTCAGGTGCAACACATACTAATATAGCCATTACTGCACTTTAATCTGTACATTTCCTTGCTGGCACACAGGTTCTGTATGCTTAATGCCTCTTCAGTTTTGTTTGTACCATTCTTGCTCATTCCATATAGCTACTTGTAAATTCAACTCTGGTTTTGTTATATTCCAGTGCAAACAATCTAATGCTTTCTTATATTCCAGTTAACTCTCTGTTTAGTTAATAGTACAAACACATCCCTTCTTCTTGTAATACCAATCTTTATTTATATAAAGACATTAAGAGCATCTAAGATTTGGTATCCTACAAAGATCTAATCACACACAGACTTCTGGAAGCAGCTTTCTCCATAGGAATCCATTTAGTGTAATAAGGTCTTGCATAGTTCATTTGTGCTATAGGGATATATTTGCCATTGACCTGGTGCAGAGACTTTTCATTGATGGATGGCCAAGCAGTTTCCCCTGGTTCCATTCTGCTTTTTATTCTATGGTTCCATTATGCAATGGATTTTACTGTGGTTGTCTTCAGACAAGAAAAATGAATTTCAGAATATCACTAACAGATTATGAACATGTAATGTTTGCTCAATATACATCTCTATGATTTTTTAAGATTTATGTACCAGCAGAAATTATGGGATACAAATCCAAAATAAAATTGAATTAAGGCATTTTATCTTTGTACAATGTCTCTGAAAAATCTTCCATTATGTCAGAACCCCAAAACCCAGGGAGAAATTTATCAAGTGATTATGTCATAAGGATTTGTTTGTTTCTTAGTTTAGAAAAGACCACATACTTCCTAATTATTATTATTATTATTAGGAAGCATTCCTAATTATTAGCATTCCTAATTATTATTATTTCAGATTGTGTTTCAGAGAGAAAAACCTATAATTATGAAAAATTCTTATGAAATGATATAAGCATGCAGAGGTTCATTCTTCAGTAAATATCAGGATGTGAGCCTCTCTTACAAAATCTGAGTCCTTATTTATTGTAAATTAATTTCTGGAATTACTACTGTGGGGCTGTTTGCATTTTACATGAAGTCCACAAACAAATATTGGTTGGTTAGTTCAATCCAGCAAGTGTAATTCAGCCCCTTTTCAGACCTGCTTTTCTTGTACAGTTGACAAATCATGATCCTGCAGAGAATTAAAAGCTACAATTGGCAGAATTTCCTCCTTGAAGCTCTCAGTTACATGAATCCAAACAGGATCTAGATTCTTTGTCCTCCAAACCATCCTTGCCTCTCTACTTCCTTCTTAGCATTAACAATCACCTCCTCCTGACCCTAGGAGCTATGTGAAGTTTTGCCCCAGAGACACTGCCAAAGAAGAAAATACTGGGACAGATGAACAAACAGGCAACTCTTCGTGTTGACATCATATAATCGTGAGATGTAGGAAGTGAGCTTGCATCCTGCTCTTTGCTCAGTTTTTGTGATACCTTACTGTTTTCTGAGTGCCTCCAAGGCTCAGTGAAGCTTTGGAGAGAACCTGGATCCTTTTACCAAACAAAAATAAGTGGAGGGACTTACTTCACCATGACTTCAGAAATTCTTGCTGCATTACTCATGTCTGCCAACTCTGCACAGTGTACAGAGAAATCCAACCCTTCATTGGATTCAAAATGTCTCCCTGACATTGCATCTCAGCAAACTGAAGTGGGGCATGCCAGTGATGTGCTGGCAAGCACATCTGAAGACTCTACTTCTGGCAGAATTATTGAGGGATGACAGAAGCCTTACTGGGCCTTCCCCTACCACAGGATCCCCCCTAACTAGCCCCCATCCTTCACCGCTGCCAAATAAGGCATTCATCCACCCACACTTCGAAGTCCCTCACTCCCTATTCCACCCCAGAAGTAGCTCACCCACCCACATGCCACCAGTACTGTCCCTAAAGGCCATTAGCCACTTGCAACCACCAAAGCACCTCCCCTCTATCACTAACCCTGATGTGGTCTCTAACCCACTTACACTGCTACCTCTACTACAGAAGTCATGGAAACATAGAATAGTAGGGTTGGAAGGGGCCAAGGCGGCCATTAGGTCCAACCTTCTGCTGTTGCAGGACACCAAGTTATACCATCTCACAGCCCAGGTTCTTGTTGCATGCCTCTACTGTGAGAAAATCCATGACCTCTCCCAGCAACTGGCTCCACTGTCATGTTGCTCTGACAGTGAGGAAGCTTTTCCTGATATCTAGCCTAAATACAGGCTATTGCAACTTGAGTTGATTATTCCATGTCTTATCACCACCCACAAAGCCACCAATCCACTATACCTGTCTGAGAATTTTTACCTGCAATCCTAGAGAAAGGGAGGGAGGGACTACTTTATAATTTTTTCTTACACTCACCTACATTACATTTTAAAAATTATTAACTTTATACACTGGCTGACCATAATGTCTTAATGTTTATGGTAGTGGTAATATCAAAGATAACAACAATGTGATTTTAATATTATTTTCTGTCTTTTATTAAGCAGGTGTTTGGTATCATCTGGTTTTCTGAAAACTTTTTCTCATTTATTTCTGTATGATATTTGAAATGATATCGAAATGATAAAGCATTTTGCAATGCATTTTGCTTGGCATATTTTGCCTTGGAATAGCTACTGCCATTATACATAGGAAAGATCCATTTTAGGACCCAGAAATGCTTACACACTAATTCGAAGACTTGAAGAATTAGCCTTACTTGCTCTGAATGTGCATGATAATTCCTCTGCTTAATTGTGCAAATGTTAAGTTACACCAATTAATCCAACTGCTAATTCTAACCAAACTGCTTTTTCCCTCCAAGAAGTCACTGAAGCATTCAGTTGCTTTCCATCCTTTCTGATATTTTGAATCTACCTGCATTAATATGGTTAATCTTATTAGCATAACATTCTAGATTTTCACTGGAATGAGGACAAGTCCTGGGTAAAGCAAACAGCTACAGAGCCACTAGACTAGCCAAAATACTTGCTGCTACAGTGAAGCAGCTAGTGAGCAACTATTATTGACAGCCTCCTCTCACACACACACTCACACAAAAACACAACACCCCAGCTGAACCAGCTGCCACAGGCATCTCCTGCTCCTTGGAATCACTGCAAGATGTTCCGCCCTTATCATAACTTGAGCCAGTTTAGGTTCACAAAATGCACCTATCACAGCAACTTTCACATTTCTTATTTTCAGCATCTATGAACTTCCCACACACAAATTGACAGTGATAGTTTTGAGGACCACCTATGGTCACTACCTTAAAAAAAGTATAGTACTGAGTGGAAAGCTGAACATCAGCCCTTGGTTACACACAAATGTGACTGGTCTGATTAGTGCAAAGGACTAGTGAGAGTATGTCCCTGTTGGCAAACTCCAGCAAATGACCCAGGAGGCAGCAACGCTGTACAGTGACTACCGCAGGATACAGGTATAAAATCCCCATCCTTAGCAAGGAAAAGACTGGACTGACCTGCCTTGACATCTCCTTTCACGTCCTTGCAAAGAAAAGCTTTGTGACAAGGGGTTCTTTCTCCCTTTTCACAGAATAATTCCCTGCTTTTTTGCCATGGTTGAGGGGAGATAAGATGTTCCTAGGGGGTCTCCTGGTTTTGAATATCTACCCACAGTGCTAGCAGTTCAGTAAGTTTCAAACCTGCCACCTATCAGTTTCTGATTTAAAAAAACAAATGGTGAGGCTGCATTTATTCCAGATTCCCAGAACACATCCCTGAAGCTAATACAGAACACCTCAAAGTAACATGATTGAATAAAGGACTTGTAAATATGTGTGCTGTTGTTTTTAAGCCTTGCTTAGTACCTAGAACAAAGCAGTGAGGAAAATCAGCTGCCTAAATAAATGTGTCATTTTTTTAGTCTATGCATTTAGATATTGCATTTAGATGGTTATTCTGAATTTTGATATTCCATATCTGGGGTACTGCTACAGAAGAGGCCCTGTTTTGCATTTCCACCAACCCTTTTGATGGTGAACATCCAACAGCATCTCTGAAAATGACCCCAAATGATGTGATTTCATACGTATAAATCCATGTTTATATATTATATTAATCTGCTTTTGGATCAGAGCCTACCCTCCTTAGTTTGCAATCCTCTGCATGATTAGACCAAAGAAAGTCCTACAACTCATGTCTCAATCAGCTATCAATATTAATAAGGCAAATCTCTAAGGGTTAATAAATGGCAGCCAATAAAGAAACATTGTCCTTTTCCTCACTGTCCCATATATCTTACAGGGTAATTTTAGTTAGCAAGAGTTCTATTTCATGTACTTATTTGGTACTAAAGGTTAAATCTTACAATGTTTGTGTGTTCTAACACTATGAATTCATACCCTCAAAATATTTTGGACCATAACTCCCATCATTTCTGACCATCAGTCATGCTGGCTGAGGCTGATAGGGGTTAAAGATCACAATGTCTGGAGATGACCATGTTGGAGAAGGCAGAACCCACGAAAAAGCCACTGAAGTGTGATGAACAGAAGATCTTTCCCTAAACTGGTGCCCTTCAGAAGACATCAGCTCTTAAATGACCTTTTTAGAGTAGTGTGCATCTTAAAGGCAGGACTTTGAAAGTAAGCAAGCATGTAAACAATTGCACACTCACTCATGAGAAAGCCCATTGAATCATGCATATTGCTTCGAAATAATTGGAATACATGGTTTTAGTCTTGGGATGTAAGAGGGTCAGGACTACCTGCAAAAATACTGCCTTTCATAAAACTCAGCTGAGCTTCTCTGTTAATAGTCAAAGAAGACCACGGACAGCTGTGGGCAGGAGAAATGCTTTCTGTCTGGAAATCTGGTGTCCTGTGGAACTCACACCAGAGCAGCAAAACTCTGGACCCCGGGGTGGGGGGCGAGAGAGATCGGAGCACCTGTACCTACCATGCCAGGAGGACTGCTCCTCCCAGACAGCTCTCATCTGGACGGTGAAGAAGGGTGCCCAGCAAACGATGTACGCCGAAATGATCACCAGGGTCATCTTGACCGTGCGGATCTTGGCGCGGGAGATGTTCTTGACGCTACTGACACACGGCGTGAGGAGCAGCCCCTTTCGGAGGGCACCCCCTCGCGGTGGAAGGCGCTGCCCCCTGGGCCACCGAGCCTTGTCCCGCGCGTTGCTCCAGATGTGGTAGCAGATGAAGCCGTAGCATGTGGCCAGGATGAGCACGGGCCCCACGAAGATGCTGCCGGTGATCCAGGTGACGTAGGCGGGGGGCCCCCAGGGCATGATGAAGTGCGCCCAGCAGTCGTAGACCTGCGAGCCGCTCTCCACCTCGCTGAGCGAGAAGATGAAATACTGCGGCACGCTGAGCACGAGGCTGAGCGCCCAGGCCGTCGCGATCATGCAGCGCGAGCGCTTCGAGGGCTGCTGCAGCGTCTTGAGCGGGTGGCACACGGCGATGTAGCGGTCGGCCGTCATCACCACCAGCATGTACGCCGAGGCGAACATGCCGAAGACCTGCAGGTGCTTCACCACGCGGCACAGCCCGTCGGGCCCGTAGAAGCGGTGCGTCACCTCCCAACAGAGTTGTGGCAGGATCTGGAAGAAAGCCACGGCCAGGTCGGCCAGGCTCAGGTGGCGGATGAACAGGTGCATGCGCGACGCCTTCTTGCGCGGCGTGCGGTGCAGCGCCAGCAGCACGAAGGAGTTGCCCAGCAAGGCCAGGGCAAACGTCACGGCCAGCACCGCGATCTCCAGCTTGGCCAGCTCTTCGTTCCGCCCGTAGCGGTTGCTGCTCCCGTTGGCGTGGCCTGCGGCCAACGGCGGCGCCGCGCTACTGCCGGCGCTGGCGCTTGGCTTCGCTTCTCTGAGCCACCCCTGGCTCCTGTTCCAGGCCGGCGGCGGCGCTGCCCAGAGCGAGCCGCCAGGGCTGTCGCCGAAGTGCATGGCGACGCTTTCTGCTGCGCTCCCGCGCTCTCTCCGCTGGCCTTTCCGCGCGCTTTCCCGCCTTTTCCGCTCCTGTCTCGCTGGAGCACCCACTCCTCCAGTTCACTCTCGGCTCCTTTCCGCGACGGAGCGTGCCTTTTCTGCTGTTTTTTTTTTTTTTTTTTTTGCCTGAAAGGAGCCGGAGAGACCAAGCTCACGCTTTCCGCTTCGGCACGTTGGCTTCGTTGCACGCTGCGCTTCTTCCGCGCCTTTCCCGCCGCCGCCCGCTTGCTGAATGCCGCGCTCCAACCCGCTCTTTTGGCGTCCAGCGCGCTTCTGCCTCTCGGCGCTGCGCTCACCACCTTTTCCTCCGCGCTCCTCAGGAAGGAGCCCTGTCCCCGCCCCTTTCTCGCCCCGGCCCCTCTCTTCTCTCAAGCACTGGACCGGCACTCCTGCGGAGTAGCCATCTACCCGCGCGGGCGCGTGCAAGCCCCCTCACCTTGGCGACCAGCCAGGCGCCCGAATGCCCCGTCGCAACTCCTTAAAGTGATTTATCCGTGTGGAGGGAGATGCGCATTTCACCGCCCGGGCTGCGCTCGCTGACGCCACGGCGGTGTTCTTTCCGTGACCCAGGGGCCGATCTGCGTGCGCGTCCTCCTCTGAGAAAGCTCGAAGGTTGTGCTGATGGGTCGAGCGACCTACTTCGAAAGGCTCTGAGGGGAGCCTTACCGCAACCTGGCGCCCTCCAGAGGTGTAGGCTGACAGCTCCCAGCCGAGGGATACTGGGAGTTGTGGTCCAATCTCCAGCCAGGATGGCCATTGTTCAGGGTGTTGTTAAAAACATGAAGGGCACCAGGCTGGGGGAAACGGTGCAATTTTTGGTGTGAGACAGCTGATCCACAAGTTAATACCTGATATAATGTGCAGCCGCTGGACTTTCTGCATGCACGTGGGAATACCCCCCCCCTTCATTAACCAGACCCCCATTTTATGTGCACATGTGTGTGCACATGTGAGGGACTCTTGCATCTTTAGCTGCAAGAATTCAACAGATAAAGTGTCTCAATTGCTTTACCTGTTAAATTTCAGGCAGTGATTTCAGGCAGGTACAGGAGCTCTATCAGGTGGGGTGGGGGAAGTTGCCAAGCACAGCCCTGCTCCTTGCCTTTCCCCAAGGAGCCTAACTCTCCACATCTCTTTCTTTTCTTCCCTCCTTCCCCAAATCATAGGACTGATAATACCACCTTGCAGAGGTTAAGGTTGTAACTTAGAGTTGAGAGCAACGATCCTGAAAGCAAGAAACATGACTGTGCGTCTCAAATGGCAGAGGCAGAGACCTCAAAGCACACTGTGGTCAGTGACAGAGGATGATGTTGGCTAATTCTTGGAGAGAGTCACAGGGCATGAAAAGAATAAGCAAGACGGAGAAATGAAGTCTGAACTCCATTTGGGGACAAAAACACTTGGAGAAGCAAAGGTGAGTGATATGCCCCCTGCTTTCCTTTCTGAGATCTTTATCACTTCTTCAGATTCATCATTCCTAATAATCATTCATTTTTACAATGATGAAATTCCCAATATCATGTGTCTACTAGGTGAATTAGTCTAGAAAAACTACTCTTCCTTACTAGTCATCCCAATTAACATGGATTTTCAAAGGGTTTATTTGTTACATTTGTATGCCACCCCACTGCTAAAGCTTGGTGGTTCACAGCCATGAAAATCATAGAATACAGCATGGCAATGCATAAAAGTTTAACGCTATGGTATACAACCAAAATATGCAAGCAGCAATGCACGTATTTAAAATTTTAACACAAGAGGGAGGGAGAGAGGAAGACAGGGAGAGAGACTATTGACCACATGGAAACGGGCATTCAAAGGGTGAGAAAATCCATGCTTGACTGCTTTGAATGTGTTTAAAGCACATTCAGTGGTAAAACATGTAAAGTACAAGGCAAAGTCTTCAAGGCAAAGCAAAAATTTTGGCTTCACAAGTGTATGCTCATTTCTCGGGTGCATTTTAAGCATCTGGAAGGTTGCAACCTAGTCTGCTGAATTTCTGCCTTGATTATTTATAGTGCATCACCTTTAGAGGGAAAACAAGAAACGAACACCTCAAACTTTATCCTTTTTGTTTTTATTTTAGAAATCTATGGCTTGCAAATGTTGCTGGTCCAAGCTTCACTTTTTAGGACTGATAGTCTGATAGTCAGATCTAAAATACAAAGCATATTTATCTTGAACTCATAGAGACAACTGCTGAATAAACATGCTTAGAACCATTAGACATGACAGAATGATAATAAACCTACATATCAGAACTTTGGCCAACAGAACAATATCGCTAGAGAATTGCTTTATTACTTCTGTTCCCATTGGTCTATATATAAAAATCAACCGGTTCATTTATCCAAGCCTCTACATTTGTGTTCTTCCCCTTCAGCAATACTTTTCGAATATTTATAATAGTATTTAAAACAATTTGTAGGTTAGGGCATGGAGGCATGGAGTGACCAGCTTAGTCTACTGTAGAAAAACCAACTAATAGCTTTTCTAGATGAGGTAAACTTGGTACTTTAGCAAAGCTTCTTTCATTTTCTTTGCTGGAGGATTACAGCAACTTTCACATGAGGCTGTTTTCTGGGGGTTTTCCTCTCTGCCGTTTTACGTGTGCCATTACACAGTGCAAGGTGACACTGAGGTACAGAATAGAATTGTAAAATGCTTCTGTAGTGAAATACAGAAATAGCTGCTTTCCTTAAAAAAAACAAGCTTTAACATAGTAGAGAAGCTCAAAGACTCTTTGGCACCTTAGAGAGACACACATTTATTATGGTAAATGCTTTCATGAACTGGACTCCACTTTCTCAGATGCATGAAATTTTACCCTCAGTTAGCAGCCAATTATACACATGACTGGGTTAAAATTAAGAAAGTAGGAAGTGTTTTCAATGAGATACGAAGTACCAATGAAAGTGCTCCACTATAGCTCTTATAATTTTGTATACATCTGTTGTTTGCTTAACTTTTAGCCACCCTTAAATTTCCAGTAGATGGGCAGTTTTCAAATAAATATTTAGGTTCTGCTTTGTTTACTTATATGTATAATTATATGCTGCATTCTGTGGTATCAGACAACACCAAAGTGGCATTCAAATTTAAACAAAAACAATATAGAACAAACCATAGTACATCAAACATCCTTTTCAGAAATATCATAATAACACATATTTTGACAGTGAATATTTTGCTTCTACTGAAAGCAACAGTGTGTGATAATGCATAACATGCTAGCAACCGAGATGTTACCCACCAGGATGCAATTTAGGCATATGGAGTTTCCATATTTGACCACAGGATGAACCACAGCTACTGTTACGTATTTATTAGTGAATTATATAGTCAATCTTTTTTTATGCTGGTTGCTCATCAGGGGCTCACTCTATAAAATTAGTATATTATCTTGATGCTACAGCAAAACCATTAAAATATTTTAAAAGATCAATCTAGTTGACTTTCAAAAAGAAGGATATAATATTCAGACCTTCCCAAAAGAAGGAAAGCATAAAATAATTCAAGTTTCACAGAGTTAAAAAAGAAAGTCTGGAAAACACTTAAACTATAGGTTTGTAAGACTAATTTTGTAAAACTTATCATGTTTAATCATAATGGAATCAGATCAACCACAGTTAGAGCATATCCTATGCCAACTGCATATAGTATTCTGCATTTAGAAAAATGCTGGGAGAAAAGCCCTAGTTAAAATGTAAAAGGGCATGATCGAAGCCACTGGGGGCACAGTGTCTGAGATATTCTCATGGATTCAGCAGAGCTGTATTTTCTGGTCTCTCATCCTGCAATGTATGCCTATGGGAGGCACACTTGTAGGTAGTTGTAACATGTTAGTAGGGGGGAAAGATTTCTGAGGCTTCGGCAAGGGGCAGCATAGAAATGTTCTAATAATAATAATAATATAATAATAATAATAATTTCAGCAGTTAGAGGTAAAGAATATAGAAGGTACATTTTGCATAAAGAAGGTGCATTCATGAGTATCTCCAGTGTAATTATCAAATAGCAGGGCTGTGTGAGACCGTGTAAAGACACTGCCAAAGAATACACTGGACTGAGCAATAGAATCAGTTGTCTGAGTCCTTATAAAGCAGGACTCAGGAATGGAAGGTTCATCAGCCTTCCATTCAAACCAAATCTGCCAAGGCAAGCAAAAGGGCTGGGTGGGAATGGGGGAGATCAGACATGCTTTCTCTTCCCTTCAGCAGTTCTTCATGCCTGCCTGGCTGCGTGCATAGGCTCTTGAGCCTATAGGAATTATTTGCATGTGGATATTGTAGTCATGGTAGACTCCCATGGTCAAATCAATGGTCTGAATTATTAATATCTATTTACAGATTCTCTTGACAACAGCAGGTTGGCTGGGGAGAGCACCTGCTCTTCTTGGTATGCAATATGCCTCACCACTGGATATTCTTCTATCCCTGCAATTATCTCCAATCTGCAAAAGAGGTAGGGTGGGCAAAGTCAACGGTTTCACTGATCAGCGAACTGAAGGGGAGCTGGTTGCTTCTGCTTTGCCTGCCTCCAAGGTGGAAAGGAGTCCAGGCAGGCAAGGTGAATAACTGCCACCATTCCTCCAAGCAAAAGGGACTTGGTCACTTCTGCCTCCCTGATTGCAGTTTCCTCATTCACTATATTTATATCGTGCCTTTTTCCTGTCAAAGAAATACAATTCTTTCCCATTATGGGAAAGAACTGGAGCAGGCAAAGGTGGTAGCAGAGCCAACCTAGCCCACAACTCTTCTGGGGAAAATAGCCATTAGTACATGTAATCAAGAGCAATATTTAACTACTTCAAAATGGACACTCCAACAAAGGGGAGGTAACTTCCATGGGCTTTTCTATTACACTCAGAGAAGTACCTTTGGATAGATCTTCCCACGGAGAAACAATATAACTGGCCCTAGAGAACAGATCACACTGGTCTTCCACGGAAGACATTT